CAGCTGACGAATGATTCACACCAGCCGAAGGATTTGCACCAGCGCCAGCAAACGGCATCGAAGACGAAGAAGAAGGACGATGGCAAGGAGCTGAAGAACGATTCTTTGCACCAGCCGAACGATTTGAAGGATTCTTTGCACCAGCCGAACGATTTGAAGGATTCTTTGCACCAGCCGAACGATTCGAAGGATTCCCACCACCAGCGCCAGCAACCGGCAATGAAGAAGACGGACGACKGCGAGAAGTCTTCTTCTTGCTGTATGGATTCCTGGTCACAGCCGGCTTGCCAACTGCTGCAGCAGCTTTCTTGGACCTAGTTTGGGGCGCTGTATCCCTGCAAGAAGAAGAACGAGTACAGCGACTGCTGCGTGGAGGAATTGTTCGAACCATGTTGTTGAGGACGAGTATGCCTCAAATAACAAGGAAAAACATCAAAAACAACAAGGAGGAGTGAGGATCACAAAATATGCTCATTAGTAGTATGGTTCTTAGTACACACACGACTTACTTTGAAAAGAAGAAGCTGGTGGTGGTGTGGTTGTTGTTGCCATGGTGGACCAATCGTTGTCGTTGTTGCTAGTCACGACGTTAGAAAAACGCATTGGAAAACAGTTTCAAAAAGTTTAAAACCAATAAAAATGAAGCGCAAACAGCAAGAATAACAAGGGGCACTTACAGTAATGCGTTGTTGTAAACACGAAGAAGATAAACAAGTGGAAACAGAGGCCTATTCCCATGGTCTAGTTCAAAAGAAGCGGATCGAAACGTTGCTTTTTCTAAACTATGATTAGAATGATTACGTTAGAATGCGTGCAAACAAGTGAGTGTTGTAGGATGTAGTACAAAATCAACGACACCAGTAGAATGTGGTACAAAGATGAACAGAATCCCGCGAATCGTGAATAGAAACTGTCTTTACTAAGGAGTCACATTCAGCTAACTACTGGAGCGACCAGCTATGACCCACTATTAGCAATAAGCAACCAATTAGCGACCAACTAGTACTAGTAGTAAGAGTGATGAACGTGCGCGCATTGAATTTAAAAAGTGGTACTCCGGTACCACTAAAAAGTACTTTAGTACCATCTTGTACCAGGCCTACTACGTAAATCACGTAGCGATACAGGTTTTTTGTTGTCCCCGCGGAAAAGCAGCAACAGCAGCAACAAAACAGCAACGTCGATCGCTAGTAGCAAGGGTCTAATTTTCTTTTAGATAGGGACAGCACGTGCCACCAAAATCAGAGTACGGGGTTTTACTTTTAGTACCATCTTGTACCACCAGGCCTACGTAAATCATGTAGCAATACAGCAGGTTTTTTGTTGGAACCATCTTGTACCAGGCCTACGTAGATCACATAGCGATACAGGTTTTTTGTTGTCCCCCCGGAAAAGCAGCAACAAATAGCAAACAATAATCGCTGGCAAGGGTCTCCTCCACTCTGCTCAACCTTGCAAGCATTGGATTACACAACTAACACCCCTCTCCTCTTGTCCTCCTCCTCCGCAAGTGAGCTGCTCTAAAATTTTCCTATCCCTTAATAGGAGCGTACGCCTATAGGCGTACTAAAGGCCGTTTTTTAGCCAATCAGAAGTACACATTAAATTGCTCCACCGGCAATATAACCTCCATATTCGTAATCTACGTAAAATTTTGGTATAGAGAGTACTATCCCCGGGATTCTATACTTTGGTGAGAGCTCTGGAGGGGAGCTCGTATCAGTATGGAACAGCCGATGAATATCTAAAGGCGTACTAAATCAACTAACCGTAATTCCAAACTCACCATGGTACTTCCCCCCCTTCCGGACCTTCTTCTGCAAAACTAAGTAGCTGGATCCCTCCCTCTAACACAGGGAAATGATGCTGCGGAAGACCGGAACGATTCGGCTGGAAATAAAGGAATAACAGACCGGTCTTGTAATTCGGTTTCGTCGACGACACCAAAAACAGTCTCACAAGCCACTAAAATAAATGCGCCTTCCTTGAATCAAGATAAACAGACACAGGAAAAAAAGATTGCAATAGAACCCAATTGAGATAGTGTCTCCAAGGGACAAAGGTTGTGTAAATGCTTCCTTTAAAGCCAAGTACAAGCTTTCTGCATCATCCAAACCATGGGAGGTTGTTAACAGCTTCATTCCCTTTGAAAGCAGCAAGAGCAGCAGGAAAGGCGATTTCAGCTTTGACAAGTTATGCGAGTGGACGAACTGCAAGGCGGCAATGGCGGGGGCTGGTTCAAAGGTGTACAAAGGTGAATGGAAACCATTCACCGCAACTGAGTTACGGCAACACTTTGGTCTTTATTTGTTGCAGGGGCTTTCTCCGTCACCACGMGTTGAATACAAGTTCAATCCTCAGCGCAAGGACCGAATTGCAGGAAATGATTTTGTCTATGAATCGTTCAATGCCAATGCAAAGCGGCGTCACAAGCATTTCAAAGCATTCCTTGCTTGCTGCAATCCTCTAATTGATCCTCCCAGCAGAGATCTTTACCCTAATTGGAAAGTGCGGCCACTCATCAAGTGGATGAATCAGCAGTGTCCAGAAGCGTGGGATCTTGGGAAAGCAGTTGCAGTTGACGAAATGACAATGAGGTTTAAAGGCCATCATCGCGACAAGCTACGAATTACATACAAGGCAGAAGGTGATGGGTTTCAAGCTGATGCCCTCTGCGACAATGGATATTGCTACCAAGTTTTCATGAGAAACGATCCTGCACCAGTGAAGTATCTTTGCCAGGGGCTATCTCCTCTTCACTCAAGAGTAATGACATTATTTGATGCATTGAAGGACAAGTACCATCATGTTGGCATGGATAACTTGTACAACTCAGCTGCATTCTGCAAGGCTGCTTATAATCATGAAATGAAAGTGCTTTGCCATGGCGTTGCAAGGAAGAGYGGTAGAGGAATACCAGAGTGTGTCCTGCAAGAAGAGCAAGTTCGCCCTYTGGCTCAGCGAGCAGTTCGAGGCACAGTGAAAGCAGCAATATTGAAAGGAGATCCGAACTGTCCTGGTCTTATTGCTTCCAGTGTCTATGATACTAAGCCAGTACACTATTTGAGTATGGTATCTGAATCAATCAAATGGGTKTTGAAAGAAAAGATGGTTTACAACGTTGACACCAATGAAGTTGAAGCTCTTCAATTCTTGCGACTTAATCAGATTGATACTTACAATCATGGAATGGGAGATGTTGATATTGCTGATCAACTAAGAGGTGTGTATAGAATTGATAGATGGGTGAGGAATAGGAAATDGTGGTGGTCTATGCTCTTTTGGTCTCTAGGTGTGCTGCTGACTAATGCATACAAGGTGTATCTAAGCTTGTGCAAGGAGGAAGGAGTTGAACCAATGTACAAGGAGCAGTACCAATTTCGCAAGGCAGTAGCAGAGTACTGGATCAATCCTGAGAAGATTGCRAGTGAAGTACGAGCGCACAGCAGTGTTGCAAGTGCTTCTAATACATCTCTACGAAGGAAGAGGGTGTTTGAATTTGACGATCTTTCACCTGMAACGATGTCAACAGTTTCCTTATTATCGCCTGACGGAACCACAGCATGYCAAACGGTGGATACGTTTAATACTAGTAGTAGTAGTAGCAAACGAGGGATACGACTTACAGATGCAACACTTGCAGAAACTGGGAAGCTTCGCATTCGTTTGAATAGGGGCTTAGATCATTTACCAGAAGCTGCAGAAAGCAAAGCAAGGTGTGCGTTGCACTGGTGGGCCGGTAAGGTGAGGTGCGAGGCACAAATCTTAGCATGTTTGAGCTGTAACGTTAGCCTCTGTGTTCAGTGCTTTGCTTTATTTCATAGGACACCAGACTTGGTATCAATGAAACAAAGGATCAGGAATAGCTCTAACAAGAAGCAAAA